GGGGGGGGGGAGGGAAGGGAGGAAGAGAAGACCTGGGGAAGAGAAAGAAGAAGCTGCTTTTGGAGATCCAGGTTAGGAAGATGCTTTAGCTACGAAACTCACGGGTTCCCTACTCCCGCTATTCTTTTAGCAGGGTCAGTGGCTGCTGTATTTGTGCTCCAGCATGTCATCTGAGTGAATGCAAAAACGTCTGCTCATTAGGAAAATGTCATCTCGGGAAATATGAAACACTATAGAAAAATGTAGTTAGCATTCTAATGAGGAGTCACAAATAGAAACATATTCCAAGTTTCATAATCTGAATCTACTCATAAAAAGGACATAAGAGGAGTCTTAAAATGCCTAGTTATTTACTGGCTGAGATGCAGAGCTGTTCGGGGCTTTCTCAGAAAGTGAATTTAATATAGATAAATGGAAGACAACACACACACATGATGATGAAAGACAGATTAGAGTAAAATCTATTTTGTATGACTCTAAGAGTCAGGTGCTTGACCTTTCTTGAAAATTAATGGGACATAAGAGCCTAACTCACCTAAACACTTCTGAAAATTCCATCCTAAGGACTTGAGCCTGCAAACATATGTGGGAACTCACTGCATGTTGTTCATATGAATGAAGTGTGTAGGGTAGGCTAAGGCTCTTAGGTTGGAGATATATTGGAGCAGTCTTGTAAGGCAAGAGATGCCTAGTAAAGGGGATCTGTTGTAGAGCTCTTCCAGTATTTACACACATATGTGCACCTGTCCTTGAGTGAAATTGTACAGAATATATAACCACATTATCAGAAAGAATGCACCATCAACTTAGCGCACTGTTTCCTTTTGGTATTCTCCTTCTACAGGTTTTCCTACAGATGAAAAGAGTAATATAGTTGTGTGTGACTGTGTATATCAATTTTTCCTTTCCACAGAAAAACCCATTGGGGAAAATTACAGGAAAAATGTGCTGGCAGGATGGTGAAGAACCAGTACTGCTTTATGCCCTGGATAGAGTTTGTGTAGGCAGAAGCAGTACTGACATAACCACTGAACAATGTTGACTCTGGGGATCTATGGGGAATCCTAGCTTCAACTCTGCACATACAGGAACATCTAGATTGAATGCCTGCCCTCTGTGTACTGACCAGCCTCCCTCCCCTAGGATGTTTGGCTCAGCAGCCATGTTGCTCCTGACTCCCTTTTCATGCATGTTTAGCATTTCATCTTTCATGGTGAAAGTCACAGAGGGGAGCTGCAAGGAATAACACTAATATATGGAGCAATTTGTTACTCATGGTGAGCATGGCTGTGATGGGACAATGCTATGAGAAGCAGCTGGTACCTAAAACTGCACCTTCAAGGCCAGCCATTTCCCTCCAACAGTACACATACTTTAACATGTGCATTGCTGATATAGAAGGGCTGCCAGAAACTATGTAGCAATTTCCTCTCATTTCTAGGGATAACACAATTGCTCCTTTTATAGTGAAGTAACTTATTCCTACACAATAACATCAACCAGAGGTTTCATTATAAACAGAATTAGCAAATTTGCACATTGTGGCCACTGCAACAATTTGGGATTGCCCTTCCCTTCCATGGCAAACAATGGGCTGGATTCCAGCCTGAAATTCTGACAAGATGCTGCATGGGAATCAGCTCATTTGGAGAATGTGTGATTGTGGGTTTAAGCCCACCTTGATAGTTCTGAACAACTTCAAGGTCTGATGTCACCCCAGCTTTAGGTAAAGCAAACCCAGGGGCCAGTGTAATTTGAGGCAGGCTTGCATAGATATCTATGGGCTTTTCCATTGCCTAGAATAGCAAGAACACAGGGCACACTAGCCACTCACCCTCTTACTCCTGGCATAATCTTATGCTAACAGCTGCACAGGAGTGTGTTATAAGGCTACTTACATTACTTACATGAGCCCTACACTACCAGTGTGCTATGGAAATTCCCTAGCTGCCATTCTGTCTCCTTTATGGCATAAAAAGTCATGGCAAAGGCCACAATTTTAGAAATGTAGGGCCCGAAGGGACCTTAAGAGGTCACCAAGTCCAGCCCTCCACCCAAAGGTCCAAATAAACCTACCACAACCCTAACAGGTGTTTGTCCAACATCTTATATACCTGAAATAATAAGGTTTCACAAACTCTCTCAGGAGCCTATTTCAGAGCTTACCTACCCTTAAAGTTAGAAAATATTTCCTAATATCTAACCTAAATCTCCATTTCTGCAAATTAAAGCCCATGCCTTCTTGACCTCCCTTAAATGGACATGGACAATAACTGACCATAGTCCTCTTTATAATGGACTTTAATATATTTGAAAACAGTTATGTCTTTCCCCAGTCTTTTTGCTCAAGACTAAACATGCCCAGTTCATTAGATAGTTCCTCATGGGTTTTCTAATCTTTTTATCATTTTTGTGCTCTTTTGGACTCTCTAATTTGTTCACATCTTTACTAAAACATGGCTCCTCAATCTTGACAAAATACTCCAGCAGAGGCCTAAAGTGTTGTAAGATTCTTCCTAGTTCACTATAGTGGGTTCATTTGTGCCCAGTCACAACCACCCACCCTTACCTCTGTGCTAGGTTCAAGCTAACTTCCATAGGGGTGTGCACTGGCAAGAGGGAATGAAGACTTTCCTCTTTCCTTCTACAGTCTACATAAGAAGCAGGCAGAACTGCAGTCACTGTGTTCAGGGATTGCTCCCTAATTAGCAACAGCTCTCCTAACAGTAATGATGGAACCAAGAGTAGCTGGAACCAGTGGTTCTGCCCAATCTCTATGCTGGCCAGCATTGCTGTTGACCTGTAGTAGAGAATATCCTGCAGTTCAGCCCTTAAAAACTTGTAAGACAAAGGCCATGAGAACAACAGAATCATCATAAAAAGAGATTACCATAGTCAAACAATATTTTCTCTTAATGTTAGCTGGCTAATAGTTTAACTCAATACTGTTAAATTGTTAAATTCTTGTTCACTGGCTAAGATTTTACATTGCCACTTTCTCCCATTAAGAAAAAAGAATTACAGGTTGAACCTCTCTAGTCCGGCATTCTTTGATCCAGCAACATCTGTAGTCTGGTATGATTTTAGTTAGCTGGATGTCCACTTATCATGGATGTGATCAAGTTTCCCACAGTCCCATAAAATTTTTTTACAGTCATGGCGCTCAGTGTTCTGTGCTATTATTTAGCTCTAATTTACCCCTACATGTCTTCTAAGAGCCCAGTAAACAGTAGAAGTGTTGGTAATGTTGCTACACACTATTGATCTCCTATGGTCCAGCAAATTCTCTGGTTTGGCACCAGTCACATCCCGACTGTGCAGAACTAAAGAGGTTCAACCTGTATTAGTAATTCTTCACAAACAGATTCTCAAGTTCTAGCTACAGAAACAAGATAAAAAAATGGCCAATAAGAAAAGCAATAGTAAGGAATTATTCTGATGGACTAGTAAAATAAACCAGGATCCCTCCATACATCCCTGTCATGTGACTTGAATACAGGAAACATTCAAAGCCAGATTTTACTCCCTTATGCTTTGAGAAAATTACTACTAAGAATGAATAAGGGGGCACAATGTTCCTAGTGTAGTGCAAAGAAATTAAAAAGGTCCTTAATCGTAGATGAGGAAGATGCTTAATGTTTTTTCAAGGTAATACATTTATTTTAATAAAAGATAACAGTTCAAGATAGAATATACAGAATGAAAGAGATGTCAACAGATAGGATTGATCACCCTAAAAATATAATCAAATTTCAAGAAGATCTGTGTCTTCATTTCAGAAAATCCAGGTGAAAGCAAACATAGTTCAATTCATCAAATGATCCAAGAAGACTGCCATGTGCTACAGAGTAAAATGCTGCAGATAAATCCACTGCAATGAGCGGCGTTATTGAACTGATGCTACTGTGTGAAAGAAGCCTTTACCAGCCCTTCACTAGAATGGTCTCAGCAGGGCAGACTGACCTGAGTGAAATTTATCTACAAAACTGTTTCTGACAAGATGAGATCACAGCAACTGTATGTAGCCACAGTTTCTTCCAAAATCTTGTCAGCAAATGGCATTTTAAACTAGTGCCCTATTTGAAAAAGCTCATTATGTAGCACAAAGAACATTTTAACAATACAGTGACCACATTAATTCTTTACTAAACCAGGTGCCTCTTGATAAGACAAGTTATGCAATAAATCAAAGGTCTACAGCACCAGTATAAGGTTTCCTACACTGTCCCGCTCCTCTTGCCCTAAGCATTTAATAGACATTAGACATTTACGAGAATGATTCATTCAGTATGTATCCTACAGCTGCCAGGCCTGAGTTTATTTATTTTTTCATCTCTGTCTCATTTCTTCTCAAATGCTCTCTTGGTTCTATCTACCCCCTGCTGTCTATTCCCACTACCCTTCCAGATGCTCTCCTCCTCTCTAACAGCTGCTCCTCTCTCATGCTTCCCTGCAACTCAATAATCTCAGACAAATATGGGGCTCATCCAGAAAGACACCTAATGTGCCAGACATTTGGCTAACAAAAGCCATTAGAATCAATTTAGTAATTAGTTGAAAACAAAAAATATCTGTTAACTGCCAGGGCCCCAAATAAATGAGTGGCAACTGCCATCTTGAGGTGCTCTCAAAAGTGACAGGTGCTATCCAGCTGTCCTCTTTCACAGCAGTGAAGTAAATAATTTTCTTCACTGCATGATTCTATAGGCAAACCAGATATTTTCAAAAATTAAATAATACAAAACTGAGTGAGATCCTAAATTATTGTGAGTCTGATCCTAGACCGCTTCCAAAGATGCACAGGGAGTTAGACTAAGTAAAACCCTCAGAGCACAACTGCAAGCAAGGCAGGAATTTCTGGTTTTCTACCCCTACCAGCACCCCTAAACTTATGGGTTTGGGTGTGGAATGGTGGAGGCTGCCAGTTATTGGGGAACAGGAGATACTATAGTGGCACATGAAGTACCATGCTGATGAGCACAATATAAATTCCTAGGAATATAAATAGCCTCAAGACTGTAATAGCATCTCCTGAGCAGATTCACTGCCATTCCACAGCTTGGGAGGATTCTTTCTCTATCTTCTTGCCAATGCCCCCCTGTGCCAGGTCTTTTTATTCTGGGTTTGCCCAGAGGAAAGGATTTGGAGCTCACTGAATACATGTGTTGATTTCAAAATTACCAATAAATATTTATTTAAAGAGAAGCATTCCATATCAGTTTCTCTCCAGTTGACTCGTTGAGTTTTGAGTTCTATTTTACTTTTGCTAGAATGGGTGATAAGCATCATGTACCCCTAAAACAGCATAAGGAAAGTAATTTCTGCTCTGAGTCAGGGCATTTGTGATATCCTGACTTAAAAGACAAACACAGAAGTTTGTGAACAAGTAAAAGTATATTATATGATTTTAACTGTTCAAAATAATTCTATTAATGTTTTATTTTTTTTAATTTAGTTTAAATATTTATACTCAGCCTGTAAGGATCACAGCCCCATCTGTTATCGAGAAAACCAAAAGTACAATCCTCTTTTTCTTTATTCACAAGTAACTGTACAAATTAACAACACTCATTCTTAAAATCATAGGATGAAGGTAAATGGATCTAAATTTTAATTTTTCCTCTTGTCAGCTCTTCAGACCCCATGAAATTACAGGAGAATGAACGGGAGTCTATTGAGCCTTGCACATAATCAACATAAACAGCTAATTTCCAACTGTAACATCTTTACTACTAGCAAGTAGCAACGATGCATGAGGCCAAAGCAGGATCTTCAGATCCTAGTTGAATAGCTTGCCACAATGGCAGCTAGAAAACTCACTTTTTTACTTATAAATTAAGTCAGCTGTCTCTGAAATGCTTTCAGAGTGAAAACCTCCCATCAGCTTCGGGAACAGAGCCATACTAGGGCCACCACAATCCTTCTGTAGGAAAGCACAAGGGGCCACAGAGCAGGTTGGTGAGCAGACTACTTTGTGGCAATGCAGATACTTTAGGGTGCCACAGAGATATTTTGGGGGCAACCTTTTGAGGCACCCAGTGACATTTTGCAGAATTGCAATGACATTGTGAGTTGTTGCCATGTTGTAAGATGAAGTGCATCCAACAAAGTGGTTTTTTTCCCACAAAAGCTTATGCCCAAATAAATCTGTTAATCTTTAAGATGCCACAGGACTCCTTGTTGTTTCTGCTGAAGCAGATTGGCACAGCTACCTCTCTGAAAATTATTACTACTATTGTTTATTACAGATATTATTGCAGCAAGACTCCATATTGCTCATGTTAGAAGAACTTTGCAGATATTGCCAAGCATTCAGAAGTTATGATTCATGCCCCCAAACTTGTGAGAGCATCTTAACAATGGTGAGATTTCAATTGTAACAACAGAAAGTATGTGGTTCCGGGCAGTGTCGGCTTCAGGATTTATGAGGCCCTATACAGCATTGTTAAAATGGTGCCCCATGCCACTGAATGGGCAGGAATGATTTTTTAGAGATGTGATTTTATAACCTTCTGCAGCACACCAATGAAATATTTTAAAGCAAATTTTAAATTAAGACCTTGTCTACACACACAGT